GGCGGCGGGGGCGGTGGCGGTGGCGGTGGCGGTGGCGGTGGCGGTGGCTGGTGGTAGTTGTTGTAGTCGTAGTGGTCGTCCTCGTGGTCGTAGTACTGGCAACCCCGACATATTGCAACAGCGCCTCATCAATCCCTACACATTGAAATTGTGTCATTGCGGGGTAGTGTGGGAGGACAGTTCTGTCAGACATGCAGACACGTTCCTTTTTCTTAGTCTAGCTGCCACATAATGTCCCCGAAGAGTGGACGGATTCTGTCGTCTGTTATGGCAGTTAAGGTGCCAGCTGCTGAATATCCTCCCTGGATGATCCAGCTGATGTCCGAGGCCAACCCTGAGCTAGGTGTTCTGAATTTTTTGCTCAACAAATCTTGGCAGACTCAGGTCTACTAGTGTCAGGACACTGCCATGTGGGGCCTTTGGGATTCAATATTGAAGTTCAGGAGTTTCAGGTCATTGACTGAGGCTTCACGAAGGCACAGTAGGTTCAGAGCTATAGGGGCTTTTTGCTGACGGTGCTCAGGCAGCAACCTTTTGGGTTCAAATACTCCATGCTGAAGATTTCACACATCAGATACGCTCTCCAAGTAGGACCTCGGAACAGTGTCGTTGTGGCACTGCTGATGCTGGCAGCTCACAAATAAGAGTCTGCAGACCAGGGCTACTGGTAGGCAGTCAACAGCAGGTAGCAGTGGAAAGCACGACAGATTGGGATTTAGGATATGCAAGCCAGGTCCCCGGAAACAAGCGTCTGTGATTTGGACTAACTACAGGTCATGCCCTTCTGTGGCTTCACCAATGTTGGCGAGTGGCCTGCATCTTGACAGCTGAAGTGGGTGTTCAATCTAGGGCCAGGGACAGCCGAGCTCACGTGTGCATGATGGACCCTCAGCGGCCCCCCGCATTGCTCAGTTTGGCAACTTCTAGATGGTTGAAGCTTTAAGCATGCAAGATCCGAGGCCTTACGCTGCCCATAAGCAATTGCCAAGGCAAATGCGGCCTAGAGAACACTTGGGGTTGTATAATAACCCCGCTTGTCTACGTTATGTAAGGAGTGTCTTGAGAGAGCG